CAGTCAAGTGCCTTAGGCACTAACGCTACCAGAGCTCCTATAAGGTTATAATAGAATTCAGAAATGCTGGTGGGAGAATGGGAGCTCTGGTGGCACAGTGCCTAAGGCACTTGACTGCTAACCAGAAGGCTGGTGGTTCAAACCCATCAACCACTCCTCAGAAGGAAGGTTAGGCAATCTACTTCATAGTGATACTGCCTCGGAAACCCAAGGAGGGGTTGCTGAGTCGGGTCCGACTCCACCGCAGTGTTTTTTTTTGTTGTTGTTGTTGTTGTTTGGTAGGAGAATGGACTAGCAAAAGTACTTTGCTGAGTACAGAGAGATCTAGCTCTTTAGGTTCTGCCTCCGCTGGCCCTGGGGCCGCAGGGAGTGGGGGTGCCATCAGCCTCAGGTGAGGACCTCATGCCCAGACACCGCTGGAGTCACCCAGGGATGTCCTGCAGCAAACTCAGCCTGTGAGGTTCAGCTCCTACCCAGGTCTGAGGCAGCCTCTGGGGCTGCAGTGGTGGTGGTGGTGGGAGGAGGGGAGATGGAAAAGGGCTGGGCAGGGCTGGAAAAGTTTAAAGTCCTTTGCCAGAGACAGAGAAGACAGACGGGGAGGGAAAAAGGAAGGAAGCAAGCCCCTGGCAGCAAGCCAGGAGGTGGCTGGGAGTGAGTGTTGCTCCTGCGGTTGCAACCATGCAGACCGGTGGTATGTAAGTCAAAGTTTTCATTGAGTCCCGCTGCGAAGCCGCAGTGGCTAGGGTCTTGGAGCCCCAGGGACCGACCTGTGCACCTCCCTCCTGTACATAATATGGTGTTGGTACAATGTCCAAATCACGTAACATCCTATTTCACAGAATGCATCGTGGACAGTAAGTTACTCATACTTGTATACTATTTGGTATTTTGAAATGACACTCTACTTGACATTAATTACAAAGAAGCCTTCTGCAAAAGGAAAAGGTAAGGTTTTGGTTTTGCTGTTGCGATCAGAGACTTGTGTTATCTAACAGTGAATGAGAAGTAGATACTGAAGACCTGCTACCATCAACTCAGTGAGGTACCCAAGGACGGACAGAGACCCAATCCAAGCCTGGGTAGGTCTAGACTGACAATGACAGGACTGGATGCTACCAATCACGGCCACCCTGTATCAGCTGCTGGCTTTCTCCCACTGCTGGTACCATCTTCGTCCCCCAAGGCAACTCAAACATCACTACTGACTCTTGTCTTTGCTCCTGTTCCCCAGCCCCATGCAGCTCATCCCAGCACCCCCTGAGCCAGCACCTCCTGAGCCAGCACCCCCCAGAGCTCCCTGTCACTTTTCCCCTCGCATCCTGGGCTTGAGACCTGGACTAAGGTCTGGCCCTCTGTGTGGTACCCTACACCTCCCACGCAGAGTCCTCTCACCCAGGGGACTAAAGCACTTGGAGACCACACAGGGACTGCCTATGGCACAGGTTAGGCTGTCTGGGCTCCAGTCTTCACTGCATCATTGCTGTGTGACACTGGGCACATTCTGCTTCACCTGAGAGCCATAGTGTCCTCACCTGTAAATCAGGCCTCCCACAGTACCTATCTTGGGGGCTGCGTGCAGCCCAAAGTGGGACAAGGCCAAATGCTCCCAGTGGCCAGCTGGGTGTTATTAGAAAAAGAAAGGCGAGCCCATAGGACAGTTAGACGCTGAGGTTGGTTAATTCACTTTATTTAGCAAACAGTCACACTCGGCCCCACTGAGTGCTCCTCCAGCCCCAGCTCCACGGCTGCCTTGAAAAGAAGCTCAGAGGTGAAAAGAAAAGCCCAGGTTCCTGAACTCAGGTCTCCAATGCCGCCGCGCAACCTCACCACAAACAGGATCAGGGCTTGCATCCCAAGGAGGCCCCCATGACAGTCCCATGGGGCCTGCAGGGTCTCATCCAGCTCCAGTAGATGCCAGCCTTCTCTGTTCCTGAGATGCCAGCAATGGGGAGACGGGCCCTCCCCCCAGCTACGGGGACCCCAAATCCTTACTCCCCAGCCCTGCCACCTGTCCTGGCTGGGCAAGAAGCAAAATGTAAGAAAATATTTTAATTATTTCTTTGAAACAATTAAGAAATAAGGTGGTCTTGTTTTTCTTTTAAAATCCAAGTAAAAAAAAGTTCACATTAGTGCCTGAGGCCCAAGGCCAGGCCCGTCCGCAGCCAAGCATCCCACACGCTTGCTCAGTAGAAACGCTTGTTCCGCTCCTGCCGCTTCTGAAACACCACAGCCCCCACCACAGCACAGACGATGATGCCCAGGAGCGCACACAGCAGCAGCAGGAACACCCTCCATCCCGTCAGGGGCCCACCACGGAAGTTCCCCGTGGGGTCGTCCACATTGTCTGAGGGAGAAGAGAAGGAGCAGCTTGAAACAGCAAAGCAGGTATAGCCGCTGCCCTCACGGGCGGATGGTACACGTACAGGAGCAGGGACCAGGACATGTGCTGTGGGTGCCATACTTGGGTAGGACCATGCACACACACCACACAGACATGTGCCCTTCATGCGTCTTGCTCAGAGCTACCACTAGGGACAGGAGAACTGGGTTAACTTGCCTCTATACAGCTCTCAGTCCACAGCATGAAGAGGCAGGGGAGTATGGAAGAGACAATCCTACTGGGATAAAGATTCCCAGAGTGGAGGCCTAGAGCTTCAGCTGCAAGAAGCTGGTTGAAACCAGACTTCTAGGCTGTCTGGAAGTCTGAGTCTGAAGGAGGGAGGGGGGCAGGAAGCTGCTCTTACAAGTACCCCCATGCTTGTTGCCTCTCCCCTTCTCTCCTTCAGTGGCTTGAGGTGCACGTCTGCAGAAACACGACGTTGACTGAAGGCTGACCACTCACACCTGAATGCTCTAGGTGGCCTCCTGAAGGTCTCCCAGGCCCCAGGTCCCCCACCCCTGTCCTCCTGCTCTGGCCACATTGCCACCATGACAGGCCCTGCCCTTAGGCAGTGGGAAGGCAAACGCCTAAGCCTTGCAGTTGCAGCTTCCCTGGTGCCAGCCCTGTCACACAGGCATCTCATGGGGTATTAGTGACCCTGGGAAGGGGACACAGTGATCTCTTTGCAGACAAGAGCTGAGAGAGAAAATGGGCCTCCCAAGTTCATAAAGCTAAGCACCTAGGAGCAGGGTCTGAACTCAGTGCTGTCTTCCTGCACAGCCTGTGCCTGGTCCTCCACCCACCTCCCTTCTCCAAGCTCTGGCCTCCTCCAGCCTTCCTCTCGGCTTCGTCTGCACTGTCCTCCTCGCCTGGAAGGCCACATACAATCCTCTCTGCATCACTCTTGCTTTCACAGCTGGACTCTGGATAAGCTGCCAACCCACCTGGTGTCTCAGGCCAGCATCTCCCTGCCTTGCACAGCTACAGCAGTGTCCCTCACTGAACCAGGACATCCCTGGCAATGGGCCTTTCCAGCAGGCTCTTGGCTCTGGGCTCCTTCAGCCCCTTTATCCTCTGCTCTGCCTCAGTCACTAGACTGAGCCTGAGTCTCCAGCACCCAGCACATGGCTCATGGGGGTAGAAGCTTGGGAAATGTCTGCTGAAGGAATGGACGGACCACAAGTCTGACAATGAGAGATGATGTCTCCACTCTGCAGCCAGAAACCCCAAAGGTTATAAAAGGGTGGTCCATACCCTGATGTATTTGGATCCTAAAAGGTTGAAAAACAATTTGAACCTTGAAAAAGCGAGATGTCTCATAAAACTCTGGATTCTTCTGGCTTCTAAAAATCAGAAGGACCTGTCCACCCCGGGCTTACTCTGTACAGTGGCCGCAGGTGGGGTTGAAGCCCCAGTGTACTCTCACTCTAACAAGGCCTGTGTGCCTGCCCCACAGGCACGTGTCTGATTTTGGGGTTGACTCTCCACACAGGAAAATCATCTCTTCACCACAGCATCTGCTGTGAGAATGGAGTGGGGCTAATCAATGTCATGGGAAGATCCCAGGCTTTGAGATTGCAGAGGCCTAAGTTCAAGTCCTGCCTTTGCCTCTTTCTAGTGGAGGAAACTTGAGATCACTCCAGTCCCTCCTCCCTAAGAGGAGAAGTACTCACCTGGGGTCATATGATGAGATGATGCACATGTGGTATCAGAGGGCCCAGCACATGACTGACACATACTACGCTGGTGTCGCTGCAGCCAGTACAGGAAAAGCACTGCCAGGGGCCCAGATACCTGCTGATTCACTGTTTGCCTCAACAGAAATCACACAGCAAAGATGTCCTCATGGATAGACTTCCTTTTGTCACATTCATTTACTCAAAACCTCACCAGTGCAGACCTGACTGGGAGCTCAGAACAGGGCCAGCCAGAGCCACTCTCTAGGGGCAGGGCTGACCAATGAGCCCTCAGACCGGGCAGGACAACACTGGACCATGAGCACTAGTCCTGTGAGCACCTCAGCCCTGAAACACATCCCATGTGCCCCTTCTAGTTGGGGAGAGGGTGACACACACACATACCTTTGGGAGACTTGAGGAAATTGACACTGGGCTCAATCTTGGTCCAGTCAATATTCTCCTCGTCAGGGGTGTGCTCTACCATCAGCTGGAACAGCTTCATGGAGATGATGTCATGATTGTCTGGAGGGCCGAGGGAGCCTGGCATGAACCTGGGGCCAGCCTTGCACACGCAGCCCAGACCCCTACCCAAGGAGAAGCTGTTGCCCCAGCCACAGGACTGGCTGTCCTTAGGGAACGTGAGACAGGACCCCGGGGCTGGACCACCTCCAGGACTTGGCAATAAGAAACTTGGGAGGGGCAGAGTGGGGAAAAAATAGCAAGGGCTTTAAAATCAAAATGATCTGGGTCTAAATCCCAAGTCAGCCCCCTTCCCTGAGGCTCAGTTTCCTCACCTGTAAAATAAGAGTAGTAACAGCACTTGACTACTAGCTGAAGGGTTGACAGTTCAAACCCACCTAGAGGCACCATGGAAGAAAGGCCTGGTGAACTGCTTCTAAGAGGCCACAGCCTTGAAAACCCTGTGAAGCATTCTAGTCTGTACATATTTAAAAACAACTGCCATCTAATCAATGCCACTCACAGCAACCCCCTTTGGGCTTCTGAGGTGGCAAATCTTTCCAGAAGTAGATTGCCCAATATTTCTTCCACAGAGTAGCTGGTGGGTTTGAACCACCAACCTTCTGGTTAGCAGTCAAATGTCTTAGGCACTATATCACCAGAGCTCCTTGTCTGTACATATAGGGTGGTCTTAAGCTAGGCTCGACTCAATGGCAATCACAATGACAATCTCCATTTTAGCTAGTTATCATGATGAATAAATGAGGAAGTAAACAGGAATCAGTTAAGAACCAGCAACACTGTTCAATGACTGGTGGAAGAGTCTGATCCTCCCAAGGGCAGCGGTGACAGAAGTTCCTGTCACAGAGACCAGTGCCTGGGATACCGACGAGTGCATGGTCAGAAATTATACCTGAAACTTGGGAAAGGCCCAGCTCAATCAGCATGGGCAGGAAAGAACCTCTGGCTCAAAAGGGGAAACTTCCTATGAACTTATCACCCATTTTACAGATGAGAAAGTAGAGGCCCAGAGCCAAGACATGGGTCCAGGCCAGCCAGAGTTTAGCTATAAACTAAGCTGACTGACTAGAACCTGAAGAAAGGCCTTACTTAAAAAAGGAACAGCTGCAGCCTGGAGAAGGGAGAACCTAAAGAACAAAGGTTTGGCAGCCACAGTGGGGCCAGAGCTGAATGGTATCTGATAGTCAAATGCACCCAATCCCAAGAAAAGCTGTAAGTGGACATGGGGGGAAAGTCAGAGTCAAGTTCACATTTCAGTTCTGCCACTTCCTAAATGTGTGATCTTGGGTAAATCCCTTCACCTCTCAAATTCTCAGTGTTCTCATTTTTGTAAAAGGGAAATATACCCCTACCTCCCTAGGAAGGATACATCAGATGACTACACGTCAGATACCTGCTATCTGACCACCCTCCAGTCAACGTTACCACCGCCCCACCACGTACTGTCATGCTGCCTCCAGCTCAAGGAGACCCTACTGAAGTCAGAGGAGCACCGTGCTCCACAGGGCTTTCAACGGCTGACTGCCACTGAAGGAGCAGCTCACCAGGACCTAATTAACGTTAAACACCACTTTTCTCAGGGCCCCTTAAGTCCCCTCCACTGGGCTCCTCAACCAGCCTCTGAGAGCCAGCCTGCCACACAGATCTGATCCTGTTCCCAAGAACCTCAGAAGACACATGCCGTAATACTACCAGAGGGAATTCAGAATAATGAGTGGTGGGGATGGACAACGAAGAGTGAGGGCAGAACCACAGACAAAGCAAGGCTGGCACGAGCTGGTCATTAGGAAGCTGGCAACAGGAACAGGGGTTATATCACACCACTCTCTCCTTCTGGGGTAGATAAGTGTCCATATTAAAAATTATTAAATACAAAACTCCTAAACCAAGGACATCCTTAGGATCAGGTGGACCCAGACAGTTCTGTGGTAAGAGGCTCAGGGAAGGCCCATCCTGAGGATGGACCTGGCTTGTCCCGTTCCCATTCAGTCAGCAGGAGTCAGCCCTGAGCCTGGTACCTTCTGAAGGCCTGAGGGAGAGGATGGAGAACCACAGCCAAAGGCCACCATGCAGAACCACTCAGGCCTGTGAGCCAGTGAGGCCTGCACAGGCTGGCAGCAGCCCAGGCTTCCTGAGCAGCCACTAGGGCTGGGCTCTCTCACAGGCCACAGGCTTGTAGCCATACGCGAACCCTTGACTTTGTGGAGCTTAAGATTTTTTGGGAGGTGGGGCAGGGGAAGGCAGGGCACAGCCAATAAAATAAATAATAAAGCTACAAAAATAAATTATGTGGTAGATTCAAAGATGGTAAGTACTGTGAAGAAAAATAAAGCCAGGAAAGCTGATGGGGAGTATGTAGGGATAGGGGGAGGGGGTGTGTGGATGCAGTTTAAAGAAGGAAGTCAAGGAAGTCCCCTGAGAGAATGACATGTGAGCAAAGATGTGGGGAGATGAGGGTGTGACAGCAAGTGCAAAAGCCTACAGAGGTGGTACAGCAGGGAGGCACATGGACACAAGGAATGCAGTGAGTGCTGCCCATGCAGAGGGAACCGAGGGTGTGAGTGTGGGGTCCAAGCACACAGGGTGCATGCAGGGCCTGGGACTTCTCCTCTGAGAGAGACAGGAAGCCCCGCAGAGTTGTGAGCAGAAGGGTGATGAGGTCTGCTTGAGTTTTAACACTGCTCTTGTGCTGGGCAGACTGGGGGGCTTGAGGGAAAGCAGAGTGGAAGAGAGAGAGACGGGAGAGTGGGAGACAGTGTGGTTGGACCTGGGAGGTGGCACGGGGTGGGCGAGGGAGGAGGGGCCTGATATACCACTAAGACAGAGCCAAGAACTTGTCATTGGATTAGCGGTGACCTGAGAGAGAGAAGAAAAAAAAAAAGAGTCCAGAGTGACATCAAGATTATTTGGCCCAAACCACTAGAAAGATGGTGGTGAAACTTACATCTTGGCGGACAAGATTGTATCTTCACTGGTAGATTTAAACCTGAGATGGCTTAGACATCCAAGCAGAGATATCGAGTAGGCTAGTGCCTATATAGGTCTGGGCCAGAGATACAGACTTGAGAGTCTACAGCACATAGATTTAAAACCTCCTATCTCCTAAAGACAAGGAGCTCTGGTGGATAAGGCATTTGGCTGCTAACTAGGTCAGTGGTTCAAACCCACCAGCTGCTCCATAGAAGGAGGATGTGGCAGTCTACTTCCATGAAGATTTACTACCTCCAAAACCCAAGGGGGGTTGCTAGAGTAGCAATCAACTCAATGGCAATGAGTTTGGATTTTTGGTTTTCATCTCCTAAAGACAGAGCTCCTGGATGGTGCAAACAGTTAACCACTCAGCTGCTAACTGAAAGCTAGAGGTTCACAATGACTCAGAGGTACCTTAAAAGAAAAGCATGGCGACCTATATTCAAAAGGTCACAGCCACTGACTACTCTGACACAGCTGAGGTCACCAAAAGTCAGCAGTCACCTGACAGCAAATAGTTTGCTTTTTTTTTTCCTTAAAAAAATATCTCCTAGAGAAAGCTCTGATGGCATAGTGCCTAAGGCATCTGACTCCTAACCAGAAGGCTGGTGGTTCAAACCCACCAGCCACTCATTGGAAGGAAGACTGGGCAAACCCGAGGAGGGGTTGCTCTGAGTTGGAACTGACTCGACGGCAGTGAGTTTGGTTTTTGGTAAAGATAGGAAAAGATCACCACAGTTCATTCAAGGACTAAGCTAAGCCCTAGGGCACTCCAAGGTTTAGACAACAGTAAGGCAAGAAAGAACACTGGTGCTTGTAGAAGCTAAGTGAAAAAAAGTTCTCAAGCTCCTGCTAGACCAGAAAAGATGAAGACAGAAGGAACTCCTCGCTCAACCTAGCACTACTCACCAGAGAGGTCACCAGTGCCAGCCGAGGCTCCAAAGTAGTAGCCGGTGGGCAGACGCACTCCAGTGATGTCGATGCAGTTCTTCCACTCGTTCTTGTCCTCCAGGTCAGTCATCACCTGCAGCAGCTGGCAGGTCAAGCACATCCACAGCCCAGGCCCCCACCTCCCCAGCCCCTGCACATGGGCAGAGCCTGTACCCCTCCCATCAGCCTGCTCACCGTCAGGCGGCCCCGGGAGTAGCGCACAGCCAGGAAGGTGTCATGATCTCGGTTGCGGAAGTCGGCTGTGCAGCCTGCCAGCTCTGTCCACCGCCCATCCTTGCTGTGGTCGTAGGACAGGGAGCCATTGTTCACCATCACCGAGATGTACGGGAACACACGCTGGGACCGAGACACTGGTTACTCCACAACCAGCCTGGCCTGAGGAACCAGTGGGGCATCTACCTCCCCAGGATCTAAAAGCTGCCAGGAGAAGTCCCAGTTTTCCTGCCCCCAGACAATTACCCAGGCCTTCCTCTCCTGCTCTACAGGAAAAGCGGTGGCCTACCTCAGTGGTTTCATCATTGGGATATGTGTCCAGGAAGATGGCTAAGCCATGGAAGTTGTCTTTGCTTCCAAACACAGGCCCTGGAATGGTAAGGAAATGGTCTCATACTGGGATGTTGTTGTTGTTGTTATGTGCTGACGAGTCGGCCCTGTCTCATAATGACTCCTCCTTGGGTTTCCGAGACAGTATCACTACAGAAGTAGATTTCCCAACCTCCCTTCTGAGGAGTGGCTGGTGGGCTTGAACTGCCAGCCTTCTGGTTAGCAGTCAAGTGCCTGAGGCACTACAATAAATAGGAGTTATCCCATGAGTACCTGAATGGTAAAGTAATGGCATCTGGATAGGGAAAAAGGTCAATCCACTGGTCACTTAACCAGAAGAGGGAGGCTTAAGGGGCAAAGCCAAGAAGACTCCAATCTGAAGCCATGTGCTCCAAGACGAGCGTCAAGGGACCAGGGCAAACTCAGCCCATGAAAAGCAGGTGGACATTCAGGAAGGACCCTGAAAGAGGATGCCCCAGCTTCTAAACCAGGAGTCAGCAAATTTTTTCTGTAACAGCAATAGCCCAGAGAAGAAATGTTTTAGACTTTGTGGGCTACATATAGTCTGTCACACAGTCTTCCTTGGTTTTGCCTTTATTTTAAATAAGCCTTTAAAGTAGTAGAATGGTAAAAACCCATCTCTAGCCCTAGACAGAGTGGGAGAAAAATGTGGAATAAAACTCAAAATCATAAAGAGCAGGCTTACTGGTGTGACAGACACTGTTGAAACCCTCAAGATTATGGCCCCTAGTCACCCTTTGGGCCTGGAATTCCCTCCCATGACTTCCAGACAGGTGTATAAAGTGAATATTCACACCAGGTAGGTACACTCCTTAGACCGATCAACCATGGAAGATCAGAAGGGCAGTATTTGCACAGGGAGAAAGCTCAGAAGGCAGGAATGCATAGGAAAGGACACAGGGAAAAGGTAACCACAGGGAGGAAATAGAAGAGAGCTGTTACATTATGGGGATTATAATCAATGTCATGAAACAAAATGCCTATGAACTGATGAATGGAAGAAGAATGTGCTCTGTAAACTATCAAATAATAATAATAATAAATTCTTAGCTAGTATACAGGCCAAGAGCCTACTGGTTTGCTCTAAGCCAAGTTCTCACTACATGTGCGATCTGAGTTCATTACTCTCCATCTCCTTCCCATACCATACACACGCAGCGTAAACTGTGGGGTAAGGACCAGGCCAAAGATTTAAAAGCGCTAGCATACCCCGGAATTCCTGGGTGGCATGTAAGATTAACACCCTAGGCTCTTAACCAAACAGCTGGGAGTTCAAGTCCATCCACAGCCTCCTCAGACGAAAGGCCTGGTGATCTACTTCTGAAAAATCAGCCATTAAAAATGCCATGGAGCACAGTTCTACTCTGGCACACATGAGGTCACCATGAGTTGGAAATGACTCAACAGCAACTAGCAGTGGTCTGAGGCCAGGACACGGCTAATGGCAGAACTCAGCTGGGGATGCCAGGAGCACGTTTGCGGGTACAGAGGTAAGCCGCAGGATCAGCTATTCCTCTTCACTAAGAGACACTCCTTCCAGAGCCAACCTTAGAGCCCAGGTTTTATCTGAGAGAAGCCCCGGTGTCCTGAATGGAAGGTGGCACTGAATGGAAGACCCTACACAGAAACCAAGTACAACCCACCCCACTCCACCCTCCCCACCTACAGGGTCTACCTGTTCAGCAAGGCCCCACCTGGCACAAGGCGATCCCGGGTATACCACAAGGCAATGCCGTCCCCATGAAGATTCTTCTTCCCTGCACCATGGACTTTGAAGTGTACATGCATCTCCCAATCCTTGAGGAAGCAGGGCTGTGGGAAGAGCAGAGAGCTGTTCAGAGTGCCCTATGGCCTTCCTTCAAGTGGAGGTGACCCTGGCCCCAGCCCAGCTTCCTCCACTGAGACTGGGAGCCCATTCAAACAGAGCCAGGTAGGAGGGTCATGGGTGGCTCTGACCAACAAACCCTGAGTGTACTTGGCAGGCAGGGTCAGGGCTACTGGAAGGTAGCTTCCAGGTCAAGAGGGGAAGGCACACCTGCTCCATGCTGCCAGAAGCCCCAACTCTAAACACTAGGCCCTCAGCCCTCTCCTGGGCTGGCTGTTGGCCACACTTTGACTCTCCTCAGTACATGCCATCCCATTAGCCCTGTGTCCTCTCCACCCTCACTGCTCTTGCCCTGTGATCTGTTGAGAGGGTTACTACCTGTTCTGAGCCATATTTCACAGAAAACAAAATAAATTCAGAGGAAAATGACTTCTCCAAGGTCACATAACCCACAGCAGAGAAGTGGATGGTCTTGGTTCCATCCAAATATGTTTGATCTGAAATTTCAGCCTTGTCTATAAAGCCACCTGCCCGACCCTCAGGCCTTTATTATAAAGGCACCAGCTTCTTCCATTCTCCTTACTTCTGACCTGCCTGCCAAAATGAGGGACCATCAGGCTGAATCCATTAGAGCTGGGCTGGGACTTGAACTCAGATCTGCCTGACTCCCAATTCCAAGCCCTTCACTATTTCACTCCCTTCCTCTTACACACCCCCACCCATGCATGGGAACAGTGCCAGGCAGGGACTGGGGACTCTTGGCTACCGTGATACAGGAGAGGACAGGTGCTCCTAGAGCCATGAACACCAGAGCAGAGCTGGGCACAGCCAACAGCAAGGGGACATCTGGCCTTGCCCACCAGGAAGTTGCACATGAAAACTCAGGTGTTGACAAATACTCTGACAAAAACCCACTTGGGAAAAGTCTGTAAATGGATATGCAACAGTCAAACAAAAACCCAATAGAGATGCAAATTAAAGTAAGACATTGGGGATCTATAAGGGGGTGTTATGTGTCAACTTGGCTGGGCCTGGGATTGAGTGGCTGGGCAGCTGGATGTAGTTACTACCCATGACGAGACTGGTAATCAACTCCATGGTGGAATCTACTGTGAGCAGCTGAGTAGCTGCCTTAGGGATGTGGTTTGCTCCCACTATGTAAGGAGAAGCCTTAAGAAAAGTCTTGAGCTTTTTTTTTGGCATGCTTGGAACCTGCATTTAGCTGAGTCTACATTCAGCAGCCTGCCATGCTGGCCCTGCCAATCTTGGAACTGTTTCTGTACTTGAACTAGTGGCCTGCCCTGTTGTTTGATAATCTCAGGACTGTGCCATTTTACTTGTCAACCTTGGGTTTGTCAGCCTCAGCAGCCAGCAGCTGTCCAAGTTAAGAGAAGCCTTCAGGTCCAGTGGGCCAAGAGCAATAGGCAGAGCTGAAGCCCAAGGTCGAGGGGCCTTCACCCAGTCCCTAGAGCTGGCACTTTGAACATGGACTCCTAAACTGTAGGAGAATAAATCCCTCTTTGTTAAAGCCACCCATCTGTGGTATGTCTGTTGGAGCAGCACTAGAGGATCAAAAAAGATCATTAATATCCAATGTGGACAAAGATGTAGAGAAATAAACCCTCTCAAACAACTGGTAGGACTGTAAGTGGTCTAGTTTTCTGGAGTGCGATTTGGGTGTTGCAGCTTTAGCAGAATGAGGCAGATCGATAAGTACTTACACATAAAGACATCAAAGATAACATTATTCATAACAGCCAAAAGGTGGAAATAACCCAAGTGTCCATCAACAAATGGAGAAACAAAATGTGATGTATCCACACAATGGAATATAATTCAGCCATAAAAAGGAAAAAGGAATGAAGTATTGGCAAATACTATGACATGGCTGAATCTAGAAAACATTATGCTGAGTGAAATATGCCAAACACAAAAGACTACATACAGATTCCATGATTCCACTTATATGAGGAACTTAAAAAAGATAGCCCCCTGAGCTATCTCCCTGTGCATAAGCAGCCCTTCCTTCTCCCATGATTGTTCTCTCCAGGGCGTGTGTCTACTTGAGGTAAATGTTCAACTCACATGCCTGTACTTTGTTTGGCTGGAAACCACAGGTGTGGGTTCAATTCCAGACAGAAAATTAATGAATGCCAGAGAATGGAGAAAGGGTAAAATAGAGAATTTAAAAAGAAAAAAGAAAAAAACCTCAACAAATTATATTCACTAAATGGGTACAGTTTATCACATGTAAATTATACCTCAAAGATGTTATTTAAAATTTAATAAAGCTCTAAAAAATGTATCAAAGGTACTGAAAGAGGCAACATAAGTTGCAAAATGTTACTGATGCCATGAAAAAAATTCAAATTCATATGTATGTAGACAAAAAAAAAAACCTTACGATGCATGAACCCACATTAATGATGAGTGACTTTTGGAGGGGGACATCTATGTCTGCAATGTTTGAATTTTGTACAAGGAACACATTATTTCTATCAGAAAAAAATTCAAATGGGAAAAAAAGCATTCTCCCTAACCTGGGCGATGGACTGATGCACTCATGGATTCACTGACCTCACTGGGTCTGCTCTGGTCTGGGCCTCGTGGGCACCAGGAACCCAGATGCTGAGACCCAAGCCCGGTCCTGAGAGTGCAGAGCCAGCAGACACAAGCAATCAACAGCTTACAAGGGGTGTAAAACCTCAGTGCCTTCAGTCTTTTTTTTTTTTTTTTTTTTAATTGTGATTTGGGTGAAGATTTACAGAGCAAATTCACTTTCTATACAACAGTTCACATATACTTTGTCTCACGTCATTGACCACAGTTTACC